GGACAAAGCCAGAGACGGGTTGGTCGAAGAGGTCTGTCAGCCCCGGGCCCGTGGGTTGTAGGGTTTCCAGCCAAATGTTCTGGGGGCTGAAAAGGATGGCTATGTCAGGACAGCCCCAAACCCACGTTCAGCATTTTCAGACAGAGGGTGACCTTTGACCCGAGTGATAAAGTTAAAAGGCCTCCTCTCAGTATTGATCTCCTGGGCTCTTCTTTTATTATTATTTTTTTTCCAGGAGAAAGGGAAGCCAGTAAAGTATTTAATTAAGTAATTGGGAGCAGAGGAGGGTCTCTGACCTTTTCCAGCCGAACCTCTGAGGCTGTAGCTGGGTGTTTTCTGTTTTTTAATTAACCACCTTGGGAACGTTTTTTCTGCAGCACTTCCTACCATTTCAGGGGTCTCAGAAGACCCACAGTCTGCTTTCTCATGGCCTCAGGCACCGTCTTATGTGCGAGAGCTGCGTGCCGCCTTTTAGAGCTGGAATCTGAATATGGGGTAGTGGCACGGGGCAAATTACCACTGTTCACTTGGGACCTGTCTTCCGACGTTTGCCATTTACATGTTGTATTTTTACAAGTATAGCGTCGTTGTGCATTGTGAGAATGCCAGGGACGGCTCTGCAAATAGTTGCCACTGCGTTCGTGATGCCCCAGTATGCATTCACTTGGGGACACTGCACGTGAGAACATAAGATCATAAGAGATGCCAATGTTGGATCAGGCCAAAGGCCCATCCAGTCCAACACTCTGTGTCACACAGTAGCCAGAAATACCAGGTGCCATCAGGAGGTCCCCCAGTGGGGCCAGGACATTAGAAGCCCTCCCACTGTTGACCCCCCCAAGCACCAAGAAGACAGAGCATCACTTGCCCCGGAGTCCCTATCTATACCTTGTGGCTAATAGCCACTGATGGACCTCTGCTCCATATGCTTATCTAATTCCCTTTTGAAGCCATCCATGCTTGTAGCCGCCACCACTTCCTGTGGCAGTGAATTCCATGTGTTAATCACTCTTTGGGTGAAGAAGTACTTCCTTTTATCCGTTCTAACCCGACCGCTGAGCTATCCTGTTTTTCGTCAGTGTTGAACAACAGTCCTGGGTGATCTTACAGAGAGGGGGGGCAGCATCCCTTCCCCTTCCCCAGCTCACATAGAACTTTTTCTCCTGATTGTAGCCTCACAGAAATTTGGATTTTGGCCCCCAAGGGCCAACCACTCATCTCTCCCCCAGTATTCAAATTCTATTGCCGCTGCTATCTCCCTTGTGTTTATCACCAAGTCATGCTACATAGGGAAGAGTGTGTGGAAACCAGATTGTCTCAAAGCTTTGCCGTCAAGATAGTGGGTGCTCGGGATAAGCCACATGAGACAAAATAATAGTGGGAAGGGGATAAGGGAGTCCTACCCACTCGGCTGCAGGTGACTGGCTGATTCCTTCCCGCTGAGAATAAAGCTTTGTGGCTCTCTTGCTCCCTTCTGGGCATGGAACAGTGGTCACTACGGGTGTGGAGGGGGAGGTATTTGTGAATTCCCTGCATTGTGCAGGGGGCTGGACTAGATGGCCCTGGAGGTCCCTTCCAACTTTATGATTCTATGACTGTGCATTTCTGATATTTGAGAAACGTTGGTGTTAGCCGCCATGGGCAGCCTGCCTCTCAGACAGGGTTGCCAGCTCCCGGTTGGGAAATGCATGGAGATTTTGGAGGTGGAGCCTCAGGAGTGTGGGGCTTAGGGCATGATGCTGTAGAGGCCAACATCCAGAGCATGATCTCGGTCGCCTGGAGATCAGCTGTAGTAGCAGGAGGTCTCCAGCCACCACCAGGAGCTTGGCAACCCTACTCTCAGAGATCCGTATAGATGCCCATCTTCTGGGCATGGAGCAGGGGTCACTGGAGGTGTGGGGGGGGGAGGAATTTGTGAATTTCCTGCATTGTGCAGGGGGTTGGACTAGACGACCCCAGAGGTCCCTTCCAATTCTACGCATAGCTGTGCAGTGGCATTTCATTGCCGTAACAATCCAGTTACTCTTTGTGGTTAGAAGGGAGCGAGAGAGCCACAAAGCTATATCCTCAGCGGGAAGGAATCAGCTAATCACCTGCAGGTAATATTTGTTCACCGTTGGTAACCAGCCAAATGGGTAGTTTCAAGCCCAGCAGTTTGTTGGTTTAGGCCATTTTCAGTTGCTGAAAGGTCGAGAGATGGAACAGGGTAGAAATCTTTGAAAGAAAGCAGAGGAGGAAAATGTCTTCTGGACTGGTTATATACTAGCAGAGTAGCATAGCAGTACAGTTGCATTTCTATAAAATACTGGGTGTCACAGGCCATGTCACAACCCCACCTTCCCGGTTGCCATGGCTCTCAAGTGCTTCCTCCGTGGCCTCAGCCAGACGGCCCACCCAGACCCTCTTCCACTCCTGCACAGCATGGCTTGGCCTCATCAGCCCTCCTCCCCAATCCTTTTAATGGGCAGCGACCTTCCCCCTGTTGCCTGAGAGCTCCCTGCTGGAGTTGGGGTCCGCTGTGCCCCCCACCCCCTCAATTGGGAGGATATGCTTGGGAAGAAATAAATCCATGAAAACACTGCCTGCGTATTCATGGACGAAGCCGGTTCCTCAGCAGAAGCAAGGAACTGCACGTTCTTGAAATACGTATCTTAAAAGGAAGGCTATTCCCACTGGCAGATGCCGTGGCTATTTACAATTTATGCATGCCAGCTGTGCGGAGCTTTTACCTAGTTTACCTTGATTAGCAAACTGAGTTATCAAAATACAAAATAGGCCGAAAGACAGGAAGGCAAGGGCTGGGGGGGGTCTCCAAGGGTCCAGAAGTTTGTTTCAGCTTGGATGACAGCCAGGACAATGCGGTGCTTCGGTCCAGATCTTTAGATTGCAATCCATAACGTTTCGTTTTCAAAGCCGTCTGAGTTAATCCCGTCGACGTTGATGAAATTCTTCAGACCGGTGGATGCCCAACCATATATCCCAAGCAATAAGAGAAGAGGAGCAGGGAATTTTCTTTCTTGCTAGTAATGTAAACACTCACAAGACGGTTATTTTCCCACACGGAACTGTCTGTGCTGGACGTAATGCGTGTTAATAAAACCCCAAGTAATTAAATCCTACAAGATTTGGAAATTATTTCCATTGGCAGGCTTCCTTCCCACCAGGAGGCAAGTGGGAATACACAAACCCTTCTTCCTTGCTCAGATTTACCTCCCCGCTTTTCAGGAATTATATTTCACTTGCACGGTTACCTGAGACGGAGTGGGGCCACTGGCCTGTCTGACTATGCAAGCTGGCAGCAGCTGCCCAAACCTTGAGGCAAGATATCTTTTCCAACACGACTTTCTGATATGAGAGACAGTTTGGTGTAGTGGTTAAGAGCGTGGACTCTAATCTGGGAGAACCGGGTTTGATTCCCCACTTCTCCACATGCAGCTAGCTGGTGTGACCTTGGGTCAGTCAGACTTTCCTTCAGAGTTGTTCTCTCAGGAGCAGTCCTCTCAGAGCTCTCTCAACCCCACCTACCTCACAGGGTGTCTGTTTTGGGGAGGGGAAGGGAAAGGAGTTTGTAAGCCGCTCTGAGACGCCTTCGGGTAGTGAAGGGCGGGGAATAAATCCAATCTCTTCTCTCTTCTTGAAGATGGTTATCATATCACCTCTCAGTCATCCCCTCTCCAGGCTAAACATACCCAGCTCCCTCAGCCTTTCCTCATAGGACTTGGTCTCCAGACCCCTCACCATCTTCACGGCCCTCCTCTGGACACGTTCCAGCTTGTCTATATCCTTCTTAAATTGTTGTCTGTAAGTCAGGTCAGAGAACCCCAACTTGACCTGTGGCAGCTGTCAGTCACCTCAGTTTTGTCCTTAGTTATTTCACCTCTGTTTCTTTCTTCCAACCTGAAACTCAAGATGGGAAATCTGGTTTCCCATCCAGGCACTGATCAGAATCACTCTGCCACGTGTTTTCAGACAAGTCTTGGGATGTGGTGCCTTCCCTCACCTTGCAGCAGTGGCAGGTCTGCTGGTTGAAATGAACGATGCCTTAAGAGATTGATCACATATCAGTCACAGTTAATGGGAATGGGACATTCTGTTGATATTTTTCTTCTGTTGAAATGTAAAGGTGACTTCTGCTTAAACGTTTCAGAAAGTAACCAACCAGTTCCAGCTGAAATCAAGGACTTGACTAGTTACCAAATTTGGCTTTGACCATAAAGGCCCAGAGCCTGCAACACATGCTTTGCTACCTGGGCGTCATCCTCGGGAAAGCAAACATCTCTCCTTCTTCAAGACAAAAACACTGTGTAATAATAGGTGATTTTAACTACCCACACATTGATTGGGTCAATATGTGTTCTAGCCGGGAAAAAGAGATTGAGTTTCTAGACACTCTAAATGACTGTGCTCCTTCCTTCCTTCCTTCTCTGTAACAAATTCAAAGAAACATAGAACAATAGAGCTGGAAGGGATCCCAGGGGTCATCTAGTCCAACTCCCTCTTATCAACTGAACCAATGCTAACCATGGTGAATGATAACCAAGTTTGCAGACAAATCCTTTTTTGTGATGGAATTGTGAGTAGAGTAAACCATTGTTTATTCTGCGCTGATGTAATGTTAAGCTATTGGCTCAGTTCGCGCATCATGTGAAGCCATGGTTTACTTAAAGTAACCATGGTTAGTGTGATTGTCTGAATGTTGTAGACCACTCATAAGAGCAGCCTTGCTGGATCAGACCAGAGTTCCGATTAGTACAGAACTTACTATGGTAAGGTAGGTTCAGTGT